CAACACTATATAAAATCAGAATAAAAGGTCATGAAATAGAAAGCTCTTCATTTTTTGGCTTAGTGTCAGTCTAACTAAAGCCATGCGGAACATGTGTTTTTCTTGCATATGGGATATCATGTCTGTTAATGTTTTGATAGTCAGACTTTATTTGGGGGTACCTGAATAGGTCAAGTTTTAGGAAAAAGGACAGAAGAGGTGTGGGTTGATCAGTGGGTTTGGTTCATTTATTTTTTTAGCAGCAAGTCAATTGGAATGTTGCATTTTAAAAATCCCTCAGATTTTTTTACAAAGGTAAATACCCAGAAACTCTGGATATTCGGATATGGAATAATGGACAGTATCCTCAGATTTTCAGTTGGCTGTTCTTAAAGCTTTATAAGGGCTTCAGAACTGCACGCATGATGTGAAGCATATGGTTTTCTATCTGAGCAGCCAAACCTGTGCCTGCTTTCAGAGGTGAAGAGTAACCATGGCTCATTAACTTCACTCAGCACAGGGTACAGAGCATGTATGCAAAGATACCTGTCTTGCCAGATCATATGTACTAGACCATCTTTGAAGTACTCTCTTAAAGCTAATCCAGAAAGTGATGTAGCAATTGTACAGACTGTACTTTGTTAATTGCTGAAAAATAATACCACTTTCCTTTTCCTGTTTCTGCAGGTGAAAAAGGTGTGAGGGTTGAACTTAATAAACCTTCTGACTCAGTTGGGAAAGACGTTTTATAAGCCTTTGATTTAGCAACTCCCCTTGCTATTCTCCCTGATAAATCTTGATGCTATCTATTAACTTTTGAATGTGAATAACAAGATAAAGGAAAATCAACAACAAACCAACATCTTAATAAAGAAGCAAACAGTGTTTCAATGTTGCATCAAATAGAAGGTTCTTTGACTGCTGAAGCATTGTACTGTGTGATTGTGACTCCAGGCCTGTGACTGCTTATGTGAAGAAGATAAGCAATCAGTAAGAAACAGCATATGCATCTGGACATAAATAAGTGCCCTACATAGAATTTGTCCATCCTTATATTTTGCCAGACCTGTCATCCAGCTGAATCCATTTCAACACTCCGTTTTTTTATATGGTAAAAGTTTGAATTTTGGGTAATTTTTGTATGACCAGGTACAGTTTATCAAAATTGAGTCTTAAAAAAAAAAGAAAAACTGAAAAAAAAAAAGGAAAAAAATCACAGTATTCTCCAAAATAACATGGATCTATTTTTGTAAAACTGTTCATACTGTTCTCCTCTGCCATAAAAGACCTAATTTAATGTAAGGGTTGCCAGTAACTGATAATCACTTTGATTTTCTTTACACCTTAAGTCAGAAAAGGAGCACTTTAATTACCAGCTAAAAAACCTGATTGTTTTATATCATATCTCACACTAATCTTAACTTTTAAAGATTGCTGCTGTATTGTTTTTTTTGACTATGTTCTCTTGAACCTTATTAACAGAAGCAAATCAGTATCTCGCTATTGGTAACATTGTTTGTGGTTTTCTATGTTGAATCCACAGAGGGGAAGTTTCTGTCTCTTTTTTTTTTTTTTTTTTATTTTTCTGGCTGTAAGAGCTACATTGTGGTTTTTTTTCCTGGGGTTGGGGGGATGTTTGGTTGTTTTTTTTCATTTTTGAAGTGACTGGCACTAAGTGAACTTGACACTATTGGTTGCTGTCATTGGCTTTGGGGACCTGGTAAATGCCATCAAGTTACAAGAATACACAAGGGCTTTCCTAGGCTATTAGAGGTACCCAGAACCTCCTTACTTACTTGACAGAAATTTTTGAACTTTCTCCCTTTTCTAAAAAATACTTGCCACCCCCCTTTCCTTTGTATATAAGTTAATAGAATATCCAAAATCAACTTTTTTTAATTTCCTTTTCAAATGTTGGTGTCCCATGCAGTCTGTAAGTTGGCACCTTGATCTATTATATAGTATCAAGGAGATGGTCAGCACATTGAAGCTGAAGTGCATCACTCTGTAGGCTCCTTGTGCAATACATCTTTAAGTTTTCACTGTGCTGAAGGATTTCCCCAAAAAGGCACTGTCCATTGATCAACACTGAGATATATATTTCGTAAGAAAACATTTACTTTCTTTTACATTGTTTTCATTTTATCAAGGAGAGGGGTCATCACAGAATCAAGCGAGATGTGCAGAAACTTTGATATTCTTATTTTTAAGAAATGGATGCTTTAGACACTGATTTATTTTTTTCTTCTTCTTTCCTTTAGTTTTTTTTTTCCTGAGCTTTAAAAGCTTGAGAAAACAAAAGCAAACCTATCAGAGACAGCATTCATATTGACAGGAGTTTGGGGGTTGATCAACTTACCCACTGCAGTTTTCTATCTGTCCCTTGTTTCCTTACTTAGCCAAAACAATGTGAGTGTACAGAAATATTTCTGTATATATTACAACTTGTGACAATTTTAGCATCTGTATAGTTTGTATTCAATTAGAGACCTTTTCTATGGAAAGCTCAGTAATTTTTTATTAAAAACATTACTATTGTTCATGTAAAACATGAAAAAGCTAATTGTTTAGTAACAAACTGACAGAAAAGGGGAAAAAAAAATCAGTATTGGTATATCATTTAGGAGAACCAACAGAAATCCCAGTTTTGTCCTGATTTTGCTTTTCCTTTTTTTTAGTAAGTTCTTGCCCTGTACAGTTCTCTTCCTTTTTCCTCTCTTGTTCCCAGAAAAACAGACAGGATACCTTTACTGTAAGTGCCTCTGCCAACCTGGCCAAGGAGTGCAAATCTTCATTACTGTCTGGTCTGCAGTGCATTTAGGCTACCAATGAAACAAGCAAAAAAAAAGTCACCTCTTCTACTTCATCTTCTTTAGAACTACTTTAACAGAGGTTTGTTTGTTTTTGTTTTAGAAATGTAAGCAAAAGCCTTTAAACTCATTTCAGTCCCTCTGTAATTCAAACTGCTGCAGTTAAACAGCGTATCAAATTCTAATCACACTGTAGGTTTGTGCTTGCCAGACAGGTTTAAAAAGTGCTTAATTTTTCACTCCATGTAAGTCATTACAACAGGGTCAACAAATCAGGTCAGCCATTTCTTCCATGTCCTTTAGAAACTGTTCATTTCATGTTGGTTGAATATTCAGTCTTGAGCATCACCAAGCAGGTCCTTGTTTTAAAACTATTTTTTAAACTGTCTTATGATCTGTATGTGTCTAGTCCTGGTTAAAAATAAAGCTTCATAATGCTATTTTTATTCATGATGTTAGCTGGCTGTGAAATATGAGACCTTTATCTATAGCAGGCAAAGAAATTCAGGATTCATTTACAGGTTGCCTATAAAGTTGTGTAATTCAAAAGCAGTGTTCATTATGAAAGAGCTCTCAAGTTGCTTGTAAAGCTAATCTAATTAAAAAAAGATGATGTATAAAGGTTCTTGAAAACTATGTGTTTATTTGTAATCATTGTAACTTTAAAAACTACTCTGTAGCAACTAATTTATAAATGCCCCCTGATAAAGGGTGTATGTGGATTTTTGGTTGGGGGAGGTATTTTGTTGTGGGTATTTTGGTTGGGAATGGTTTGGTGTGGTTTGAAGTTGGTCTTTTGTTGTTGTTGTTATTTCTTGGCTTTGGGGTTTGGTTTTGGTTTTTTTTAATCAGACCTATTTCTGCTCTGGAGAAGGCTCTGGGCTTTTTTTTCTTTTGATCACATACAGTTGTCTGGGTGTGGTGATCATTGTCCTGACAATTTCCTCCCTCAAAAAGAGGACCATGTTTAGGCTTTCTGAAGAGTAATGATGGGCACAGAGGCAGCTCTAGTTTTTTTACTGCTTTTAGCAGGTATGTGAGGTGCAAAATCAAAGTCTCTTCCAACAGGATTTGTAAGGTTAAATGGGAGCTCCTCAGTTTTACATGGCTCCCAATGAATTATGTGCCCTTCAAAGATGACAGAATAGTAGGGTCTACAGATGCAAACCTGTATGTGATACCACACAATTTCCCTCCACTTTTTGATGATCTTTGTAAGGACTGTAAGGTAATCAAGGAAACATCTGCCTGGCTGTGCTTTGGCCATCACTAAGTCCTGTGAAACCCACCTGCATGTACTTGTCTGTCTTCTAGTTCAGGGAGAGTTACCTGGTTCTCAAGATGAGTCTCCAGCCTTAGTGCACATTTCATGGCACTTGGGTATCAGTTGTGCTCAATTCTGCTCCAAGGTGATGGTTTTTTGACAGTGTGTTAGGCTGAAACCTAAGTGCAGTAGCACTAAGCTGATCCCAAAGGGCTTTGAAGCTTTTTCCATACTTCATTGCTGTATAACTTCTTACCTGTTCTCTTCAAGTAGCCTCTTCCCCATCTTTGTTTTACACTGAACAAGGAAGAAGCCTTTCTAGCACTTGGCAACCATCCTGTGTAGACCTCTTTTGGCTTCTTTTTAATTCTCATGTTGTTGAGCACGATATGCAGGGGGATTGTTTTCCATAGTGAAGTCAAATGCTGTACCAGGCAAAGATTGTTTCTCTTGGGTGTTTCTGAAAAGAGAGTTGCTTGCAAATCTGAGAGGAAGCTAAGCTGACAGCCTGCATCGTATGTAACACAGCTGGCCATGCTGACCACTTTTAGGGTCAGGAGTGGAAAGATCACATCTCTGTCACACTGATAGGTATAATCTGAAAAGTACCATTTCTGTGCACGCTGAATGCTCTGAGGAAGAGGGGAGAATGTTAAGTGACAATAGCAAACTCAAAGTCTCAAAACTCTGTGAGTCTAGCACATGTACGTTGCCTGCAGGCATGCAGAAAACTGCATGCACTTGCAAATGCCTAGTGGGATTTTTTTTTCTTTATTAGAATCAGCTGGGTTGAAAGAGACTGACCTCCAAGATCATCAAGTCCAACCCTACTGTGGTTACTAGACCATGGCACTAAGTGACACATCCAGTCTCATCTCACCAGGGATGGTGAATCCACCACCTCCCCGGGCAGCCCATTCCAATGCCTGATAACTCTCTCTGTAAAAAAATCTCTTCCTAATATCCAAGCTAAACCTTCCCTGGCAGAGCTTGAGTCTGTGCCCTCTTGTCCTACTGCTGGTTGCCTGTGAGAAGAGACCAACCCCCACCTGACTCCAGCCTCCTTTCAGGTAGTGGTAGAGGGTGATAAGGTCTCCCCTGAGCCTCCTCCAGGCTAAATAATCCCAGCTCCCTCAGCCTCTCCTCAGTACTCTATGAGTACTGAGCAGCAAAGACTTTGAAGAAATGGATGGGACCTAGCTGGATTTGGATCTCATCTGCTTTTTGTGGGGGAGGGGGGATAGGTATGGATCTCTGGGTTTCCCATCATCAACTTTCGTATAAAATACTCTCTCAACTTTTTCTGTTTTCAGATGTAAAGTAAAGCTTGAACGTAAGTAATTACTGCAAATGCATTGGAGTCTGTGCAGGAGTGAGCTGTGTTCACTCTGGAACATCTGCTGCATCAGGGCTTGACCCTGTCTGTTGGGGGTGGATAGTAGCTGACGGAAGCAGGTTTCAAGGTCCTGTCTCCTACCAGACAAAACCAGTTCCAGAGAATTTGCTCTGTTGACTTTTGCTATCACTTACTGAGTTTCATCAAGCTTTTCCTAATAGCTTTGAAGCTGAGTGAATATACACCACATTTATCCCTGACTAAGAAATAAAAGGCCCATAGCTCCCAAACGAGTTGGCTCTAAAGGCAGAAGGGACAGATGAGATGCAAATTGCCAACACATTGGGAATTGACTCTAGGCCTTAGCAGGACAGGGAGGAAGAAATGGGTTGAATAGAAATGGTCAAGTAGGATGGGAAGAGACGGATGCATGAGACCAAGACAAAATGTGTGTGGGGGGGTTTGGTATGAGGAATACTGGACATGTCAGTTGAAAAATATGCTATAGGTGTCTGCTTCTGGAGGAACATTAAATGGGAGGAGAAAGAATACACAGTGTGTTTGCCTCAGGAAAGGCAGTTGTTGATGCATCCCATCCATCCTTTCTCTTCATGGATGTGTGTTGCAAAAGAGCTCATTTTTATGTCTGAAGATGTGAGGTTTGTAACTTTACTTGAACTCGTAGTTAGTTTCCTTTGCATTCCAATTGTAAGTTGTTGGACTTCTGGGACATTTTCCCCTTACTAAATGTGCAGCTTGGGATTAAACTTCTATTGGCAGTAGTTTATGGGTTCTTCTGTAAC